CCCTTAGTGGCTTTAAAATCCGGGTCATCAACATTTGAAACACTTTGGGCGCATTGCTCAGTCCGAATTGCACCCTATTGTATTCGTACTGGCCCTCAGGTGTGACAAATGTTTTGTCGCCTCGTTTAGCTGCACCTCATGGTACCCCGATTTCAGCTCTAGACTGATGGAAAAGCTGCCGGGCTGCAACTTGTCCAGCTGATCGTCAATTCGAGGAAGAGGGTGACTGTCTTTGACCGATAAAGAATTTGATCTGCGGTAGTCGATACACAGGCGTTGTTCTTCGTTTTTCTTCCTGACGAGTAGCACTGGTGATGAGTATTCAGAGTCGGACTCTGATTATTTTATTTTATTGCATTTGGTCTATCATGTCTTTAACTAAGTTTTGCTCGGCCCTTGCCATCCGATACGGTCGATATGAAAAAGGCCTGTCTTCTCGGAGGTCAATTTTTATTGTCACTGTCTTAGAGCAACCGATCTGGGCCATGGTTATGGAAAAAAGTCGCGATAGTCGTTGAGTAGTCCGAATAATTTTCTTTCTTGTTCCCCGGAAATTGGTCCGATCTGAATTTTCTCTTCAGGAAGTGGTTCCAAGTATTCCGGGCGAATTGTCTTAACAGTTTCAGTCATTTCGACATCTTCGCTGCATCGGAATGCTCTTGCTAGGACTTTGTTTTCCTTAAACGTAATCTCGGTCGACAAATTTATACAGGGTAATAGTGCCGACTTTCCTTTAGTGGCTGTGACAATTGTATGTGGGCTACAATATTCCTGTCCCTCCTGCAGTCGGAGCGTCGCGTTGATGTAAATGTCGCCTTCATAGTTTTCGTGAAAAACTGCAACATATTCCAAATGATTCGGCTTTATTGGCGTGCACTCTGAAACTCGCAAAACAATCGTCGCGTTTTTGGCTAGTTCCAATTGAAGTTTGTTCATTTCAGAAGTGGCACGTCAAAAAAATTTAAGAGTGGTGTCGTTCTTAACAATTAGGATGTCGGGATTTTCCGTGAAGTTGCTTCCCAGCAGGATTGGTGTTTCCTGAACATGGTTTGGAACTACGTGATCCTTTATAGTGGATTCCACATCGTCAATTTTTAATTTCATGGACGTGGTTCCAAGTGTCACAGTTTGTCCATTTCTATAGCCACGCAAAACAGTTTTCGCGCCCTGGTTAATTGGTAAGTTTAATTTGCTCAACTCATCTGTGCGGATGGTGGTGCAAAAACTACCCAAATCCACGTAAGGTAATGACGATGCGCCATTAACTTGTACATTTTGTGAAATTTGGCATTCGATTGCTCCCCGACTAGTCAGATGGTTTGCTTTTCCCCGTGCTTTTTCTTGGGGCATTTTCCCATGTCCTCTAAATCGGCAATAGTCGCAGCGTTTATCTAAGTCCTTGTCTTGAGACCGATGATTTGATGGACAGTGCGTGGCAACGCGTCCTGCTTTCTGGCATTTAAAGCACACCAAAGGTGCACGTATTTTGGAGCCGCTCTTGTAATTAGTCGCATTCTGGGGTCTAATATATTTCCGTAAAAGCCAACGGTTCGTCGCACTGCGAGGTGCCGCTTTTTTACCCAAACTGTCCAGGTTGGTGAAAAGAGACTCGGCTGTTTGGTGATTACCGGCTTTGGCACCCGTTTTTACTACATTGTCAAATATTCCTCCGATAATGCACGACACTGCGTGGGTTCCAGTGATGTTGCAAGTGTTAAGTAAGGCTGACTAATCAAATGATACTTGCTCTACGTTTCATCGCTGCGTTTCGTTCGCTTTATTATGTCCTGCAGATCGGTATGGAAGTCGCGTTTGGATCGAAAATTTTCCTGTAGTCTGATTTTCCACTCTTTCCAAGAAAATCGAACACTTGTTAGGCTATTGTACCAGACCTCGGCCATTCCCTGTAGCTTGGATGTATCAAAGTAGGTAGTTGCTTCTTCGGACCAGTGAAAAATGTCGCGTATCTCATCGGCTTTTTGACACCATTCCAGAATCGTCTGATTTCTGTCCTCCGGATTAAAAGTTGGGATCATATTTCCGCGCGCAGTTGGTACGCTACTTCCTACGCGTTGTGCGTTTGTCTCTACTAAAGTGGAAATCGCGTTTGTCAACCGATCGATAGGGTCTTCCGTAATTCCGGACGAACTCCTTCCCGAAACCGAACCGCTTTCATGCCCACACTCTCGCACCGCAAGTGCTCGTTAATTTCCTCAACGAGTCTTTTTTATGTACTATGTATGTACTTTTTATGTAAAATTACGGAACAAAAATTCAAAACTCATATGCCACATAAACTCAGTTGATGTATTGTCTCGATGACTGTGCCTTGTTCTTTAAAAATTTTGGGATAATTAAATTATTGAGTGGGGCGACACCAGCTTAGCACATTGCTCAAGACGTGTGCAGTATTAGGTACATATCGTCGGAACGTTGGAGAATTGGTTTTAAGTTTCGAAAATTAATATATGAAAAATGTGTGCATACTTATGCCCACCAGGTCTCAAGGGGTTAAGCTGTTATATCAACCGTTTCCAAATTATAATTTTTTTTGTTTACAAACTTCAAAAAGTTGTTACATTTTGTATGGTGGCTATGTGAAGTTAGATGCTGTATTTCACCGAATTCTAATCGATTTAATAATAGTGTTAAGGCTAAAATACGACAATCGTTTATATTCTGCTTTTGTCCGAGTTTCCTGGTGTTGTAATTTATTCTAGGCCCCTTCAGCTTCTTTCATAACGTATTGCTGAAATTTAATAATGTCACCTATCAGTGGCAACAATTTAGGTTTATTGTATTTTTGTTCATTTAGATCTTTTAATGTCAGGCTAGATATTTCTAAGTACTAGTGGTTCTCTATTAAATATCAGTCGTTTAATTTCTTTCAGCTTTTGCTCTTGATTATCATAAATGAATATTTTTCATCACAGACCTGTTTTAATGTTGTACCCTTGTGAAGAGCTAAACTTCCTGCTTTACATGTGCGCGTTTCATCATTATATTCACTGATAATTTTTGTTGCAGCAACAAAGTGACCAAACACCTCTGGATTCAATGTTTCAAATAAAATATGTGCCCCAGTTAGGAATTTTATTAGAGATAACGTTTCTAATTTGAGGTCTCTTATGTGTACGCAGTAAACTTTCGCCGTAGTTATAGATGAGGGTATTCGTGAAATGTCATCGTTCCTCATGATTGGCAACACTTCATTTTTTAGTCGTAAAGATTCAAAATCTTGATTATGATCTCCAGAAGTAACTGCAAAATGTGGTGCTGTAGATAAATGTGTTTCTCGTGCTCTTGAAGTTTTATCTGTTCTCAAAGAACATCTTCGTCGATATTTTCTAAGAAAATTTCTCGAAAAATACCCCAAACMGATTTGATCCACAACGTATCTTTAWTTACCATCCTGTGAATTTGCAACTAAATCATTATTATATTCACCTTTGGGACGTCTAATTGGACGAATGATGTCATTAGATCTGGCCTTCGCCAGTATTATCGTTAATACCCAGAAAAGTATCATCCATGTATAATTCCATGAAAACCCTAACTGGCACTATTTGCAAATTTTCACTCGGGCTCCTCCAATGTGAGCCTAGTAAAAGTAAGCTCAAGAATCCCACCGTTATATTTCTGTTATCAATATGCATACATAAAACCCTTAAATTAGATATGTGAAACCAGACATGTGATGGGCCATTCATCCGCAAAGAACATCGTTCTCTCAAGTATATTACATTACCTGGTGGGCACCAGCTCGAACTATTTGAGTATCTTTCAATGTATCAATGGGTCGTAGAATGGCCCACCTGAAATTTTGTCGGGGCTATAGACGTGAAATGACGGCGATATACACGCAAAACCCTTGTGTGCCCCGAGGCAGGCCCAACAACGTATCTCCCGGTTGGGAGATACGTTGTTCCCCATACCCCCATCGTTTGGGTCTAGATTTCCGGTAACGGCCTTGAATGCCGAACCAATAATATTGAGAATAC